GCAGCCATGCTGTCACCATAAGGATTCCAGGTTGTCTGACTAAATGTTGGAGCAGAAATTGTGCTTGGTGCCCTGTTCAGTCCTGCCCCAAGGTTGAATGCTCCAGATGCCTGAGAATGCGTGGGACCTGGGATGGGCACATCAAGTCCAATGCCTTGCTTGTCACTAGAGGCAGGCTGGATACTGATAGTAATAGATACAGAACCTGCCAAGCCTGACTACACTGTGTTGTCTCCAGATGGCCAGGCTACAAGAGCAGTCGGGCCCATAGCTTGTGTTGGGGTTACTGGTAATCCTAACAGGTAAGAATTGGTAGGCTGCTGCCCATTATGGTGCCCAGTTGTGAGCTGAGCAGTGATTGCTGGGTCAGACTGCTTGGAACCTGAGGTCTGTGTAATGGATGACTTTTTAGGTAAATGGATAGAGTGCTGGGCCACAACAGTACTGCTACTGAGTGGTGTCTTCTCAGAACCAGGAAGCACTATGTAAAGTGGCACATGGGTGTCCCTGGACACAGAGGAGGAACAGATGATGGAAGTCTGAGATGGAGATGTAGTATCTATGGCTTCACTGTCAGAAGCTGAGTTGCAGTTTGCAGGGGGCTTGCCCACTGGAGTGGAGGTGACACCAGAACCCCCAAGGGGCGAGCTATTGGAAACAGCAACACTTGGTTTTAAAGATGGAGGAACAGATGGGATTGGAGGCCTGGCAGATTGGTCAGCCAAGTCAGCTGTAGCAGTAGGGACTTGCACAGTGTTAATGTCCGAAGGCAGGCAGTTAGCAGTCTCTGATGCAAGTAAGGAGAATGCAGGGGCAGGCAGAGTGTCCGAGCAGTCTGCTTTGATCTCTCTTCTGTCCTCCAAGATCTTCTTCCTCTGATATTTGGCATTCTTCAAGGTGTCCAGACTTTTGTCAATAGCCATGCAAGGAAGCTTAGGAGGTGGGGGGAACTCACCGCGGCCCCACAACTGTGGCTGTGGTGGTGGCAGTGGCAGAGAAGGTGGCATGGACCTTTTCCATTTGCAAGGCCTGCTGCTGGCAGATACAGGGGGCAAGGAGCTCCTTGATGAGATGCCTGGAGTCTCCTTAGCCTGTGTCTCTTTCCTGCCAACAGGCTGATGCTGTTCACCGGACACTTCCTTTGTTGATGTCACGCCTGAAGGCTCACCACCCCATATCTCCTTCCTGGATAGGTCTGACGTGCTCTCAGAAGACTGATGGCTTTCACCTGACACTTCCTTTGTTGATGTCTCCTGCAGTAAGGGGCAGCATGGGGCTGGGTCAGAGAGCACGGCTGCATCTGTATGAGGCACATCTCTGGCAGGGCCATGCAAGGAGGTGACTACATGTGTTCTTCCTCAAACTGTCTTCTGGAGGACTAGAATGGAAGTCCAAAGGTTCAGAGCTGCATTGTCGGAGACCAAAACTACACAGGTCCTCCCTGATGGCAAGGCCCAGGGAAAAACCTGTGGGAAAAGACTGCAAGGCAGTCAGAAGAACCCCCTGAAGAATTCTTCTTCTCTACTTAGTCTGTACCTTTTACTCTCACTTCTGCTGTTAGTCTACTCTAGGGTTAATATGAAACCAGAATTGCCCAAAGTTCCCCCCTTCCTCCAAAATGGAATGTACCTAAATATCATGTCTGCTCCCTCAATCAGATGCTGTCTAATGATTATTGTAGCAATTAGCAAAATTGGAGACTGTCTGGTACGCATGGGGTCTATAAGAGACCTAGAATTCATTTTCCTTGTATGGGTCTAATTGCCAGTAAGAACACATATTATGCCATAAGCAGAGACAAAAACAAAACTTAATAGTTTTGGAGGACTTTCTCGAAAAAGTATTAGAGAAATATTTGCCTGCTGACCACAAGCCTGTAAGGCAACTTATGGATTGTTCTGGCCAAAGAATGAGATTGGTAAATGCAGAGACCAAATTCTAGTTGATCCACGTAAAACATTTCCATTTATCGATGATAAATGTTGACATTGTTCTTTCTTAGTAAAGAGTTGTGAGAGTCTGTTACCTACAACTGGGGGTACAAGTATATTCTGTTTTTGCATGCCCACTGAATGTAAACAATTAAAGGGCACTGTGATCTCATGTATTCTGGAAATATGCTTCACTTATCCTTAGATTCCCTGCCATACGCAGTAAAGAATATGTAAAACTTTGTTATGACTCCCTGGTTAAATTTTATTGGTTGAAGTGGAAATCATGTACTGTGAAATCACTTGTTGCCAAGAACACTTAGAAATGTTAAGTCCTACGACTGTATTCAAAAAATGTAAATTGTTTAAGCATGATTGTTTGGATTTGCTATATAAAAACCCTAAGCTGAAAAATAAATTTGAGCAGTCCACCTGAAGAGGCTGGCTCCGTGTCTTCTTCGCCGACTCCAACCATCACTCTCTGGGCCAACTCTGGCTTGCAGAGCCTGGTCCCCTGCATGCAGTGCCAGGACCTGAGAAGTTCACTGGTCTCCAGGGGACTAGATGTTAACCATAGACCCCCACAGCTGTGGTGGGTTCTGTTCCCACCAACCTGCCCTCTGGTCTCTACAGGATCCTCCATCTTTTCTCTGGGATCTTTTTGGGCCTTCTCCTCCATCCCATTTGGGCACAAAAGTGGGAAGTACCTGGATGGTACCGGTCTCAGATAGCAAACGCTGGAGAGTTCATTTGTGCCCCGGAGGAAGGATTCTTGTGGCTCTGGAGTGCCCAAACGTCATCGAGTTAGGAGAAGAGAGCACAGGTTTTTTCAGAGGGTTACTCCAGTTCACCAAAGGGAGGATGCCCAGAGAGGGCCATGCAGCCTGCGGGTTGGGGTACTGCCTCATCGGCTCAACATGAAAGCTAGCTGGTAAAGGCCTATGATCTAGGTGGAATACCCTGCGCTCAGGATCCAGGGCATGTGAAGGAGCAGCGAGTTGGTCCCTGCCAGGTGGTGGATGGGGATCACGGGCGGGGCGGACCAGGGACCCATCACGGCCAGGCAGGTGATGGCCTCGGCGGAGTGGGAAACGAAACTTGCTAAGAAGATTGCCCCTACGGAGCTGGCTGTGCGCCAAACGATCGCGAGGTTGGAGTCTAAAAGCTGGAGAGGCCCTCGAGAGCTTCTGACTCCTCTCGGGGTCAAAAACGTACTGAGCCTGAACGGCCCAGCCTGGCCCTAGTGATGCATAACCTGGGACACGGCACAAAGAAGGGCGCGCATGCGCAGCTTGGTAAGAGAACACAGCACAGGGAAAAGGGGGAGGTCCCAGAGCTCCACCGTTAGGCTCCAGTGCCTGGGACTTCCAGTTGCCTGTGGCGGTGTCTAGGCTGCCTGCTCACCTTTGCAGGTGGGCCTGTTGGCACTTGTCTACAACCAGCAAGGCCACTGCGTGGGGACTGTAGAGGAGTGCGATGGTTGTCGTGCCCCTCAGCACCTCGGTGTGTGCTGCCCCGGCTTTCACCATTGCCTTCCAGACGGCGGCAGTTCCCAAGTCACCAAACCCTGACCTGCCTGGATACTGCGGCCCAAGACCTCCCTTCCTGGCAGGCAGGTTCTTGCTTTCTTCAGTTTGAGGAATTTGGCAACACAACATTTACAATTTAGACCGCCCCTCTGGTCACACAAGTGGTGGTGGCTTAGCTGGGATATAAGCCCAGTGAAATGACTCCCAAAGCTCTTAATCTGGACTGTGGTGCCGCCTTGCCATAGATGCAACATGTGTTACCATTTTTTCTTTTTCTTTTTCCTAATTGTTAGGGTACTTAGCACAGTGCCATATTTACAGTGAGCACAGGCATTGCCCAGGACCAAGCCTTCCTTGAACAAAAGCTCAATTCATAAATTAATCAGGGACCACAATGGGATCTGGTCTCCAAAAATGTAGGTCATGGACCACCAGTGGTAAGCGTAGCATCATCCCACATTTGTAACTGAGCCCTACAGCCCAGATTTTCTCTTTGATCTACTCTGAATAATCCAAATACATCTGATTATATATAATGACTGTATGTGAATATATAAAGATTACATTCTAGATACGTTGTGGCCTACCTGGAAGAAATTCACCAGTGGATTATTCCATATGGATTAGAAGTCAGTTTGGCCTTCTAGGAATATGTCTAGTAAGGCATTTCACTAATGTCTAGAAAGCAAATATGTTGTTTATTGTAAGTTAAGAGTGGAGCAATGTATTGCATTAAAGAAAGGTCAACACAATGTGGTCGCTGTGAGCATGCCAGCCAGGTTCGTTCTTCACCCCACATTGCTGGCACTTAAATAGAATTCTAGAGACTGTTATGACCAAGAGGGGAGAGATATGCTTGGGGGTCTGGCAAGAGAAACATGTATTATTGTCTAGGAGCTGGAAGCTTCAGCACGAGGAAGAAGGTTTGAAAAATCTTGGCCTACATGTGGCTTTACCTAGTTTGAATCTCGTTTCTGTGGCTTATTTCATTCACGTGTTTTCTCGCTCACGGGACTAATGTTGCATATCTGGGACATGACATGCATAAGTTTCAGAACCAAAAATCCTATAGATCAGTAAGAAATATATGTCAAAAAATTTTATATATAATATATACATTATACACACACAATAAAATCTTGGATTGTGAGTAACTTGTTGTGCAAGTGTTCCGCAAGACGAGTAGACATTTCTGATAAATTTTAACTTGATAAACGAGTGATGTCTTGCAATACAAGGAGAACATGATGGCAAACATCACATGACAATTGAGCTAATGGTTCTCTCTCTCTCTCTCTCTCTCTCTCTCTCTGTTAGTCTCTCTCTCTATTTCTCTGTGGAATTGTGGGTGATCATCTCCTGTGCTCTGATGCTCTGCTTCAGGCCATGATGTTTGGCAGAAACCAGTGATTTTTCAGAATATTGGAAGGTGTCCACAACTGACACTGGTGTCTTTTTTGTCACTTCAAAGCACCTATGGGTAGTCCTTTGCTTTTCATACAAGAGTAAGCTGAGGAATGCTTTGCTTCACTATAGGTCAGGCTGCCTGCAGATATAGACCCTTTCCTCTGCTGCCCTATTGCCAGCTACATTAAATAGATTAAATAGAGCATATGACAAGAGCTTATTAATACTGTAGTGTAGTCAACATCCGTTAGCGATAATGAAACATCCTACCCAAGAACCCTTTTATCCCTTGTCTCCGTCACACCAGCCACGAAGGTTTTCAAAGGTAAGTACAGGTTAATTTGTTAATTTTTCTTTATATTTTGTATTTTCTTTATTACTTTATATTATAGTGCAGTATTGTAATGATTTTTATATAAATATTTTTGGGTTGTGGAACAAATTATCTGAGTTTCCATTATTTATTATGGGGAAATTGGGCTTGATAGAAGTGCTTTGGATTACAAGCATGTTTCTAGAACAAATTATGCTCGTAAACCAAGGCTTTACTGTATTTATTTGTTCATATTTAAAATAGCACTGTGCATAATTCATATATTACAAAATTGTAATGCTTTAGTGCTCTGGTTATGAGAGCTTTTATAGTATGTTAGAGCAAATTTGGACATCCATCCCCAACAGACTTGGGGGTTGGTAGGACACAAAAGATTTTGCTCAGACCCTAATTCTGTTTGGGAAAAAAAAGGAGAAATAGTATAAGTCCTTTCTAATCTCTCTAAGAGCAAAAATGATTTCCAGATAAGACATTTAACCACAAGTCTTTTGATATCATTTGAGTTCAGTAAGGAACAGTTTCTTGGTGGTGTTTGTTTGAACAGGAAAAAGGCTGTACAAATTTGGGACAAAGGTTTCTTATTAGAACTCTGAAAAAGATGATGATGTCGGATATATTTGAAACAATAAATGACAATCATGTTATTTCCATCGTTTTATTTCCCAGGGAGGAAAAATGAAGCATATGATGTATGTTGGGGCTTCAGGACAATACAAGGAAGTTTGGGTAAGGATGTCCCAGAAAAATCTCCCTCCTGACTTCTCTTGTCAAATGGGAGTAGACAGATAGGATGCTTTTTTGAAATATAGACCATTCTCTTACTTGTCCTTATAGGCAAAATATATTAGATGGCAAGTGGTTATTCCGAGATAGTTTGCCTTGGCAGAAGCAAACATGTTGAGACAGAATTTGTTAAGACAAAATATTTTTATAAAAAGTATTCTAATAATAACTGCAAATTATAGTTGCCAGGAAGATTCCTTCTCATTTGACAATTTGTGAAGCAACAATCTCCAGTTAGAGTACATGAAGCCATGGGTGTGGAGTCTTGGATGGAGTTGGTAGTAGTGACAATGAACCAGAGCTGACACTCTGTCGTTCAGCACTCCCTCCCTGTTCCTTTGTCTTGCTCACCAAAAATCTGTTGTAATTCCTACAGAGTTACTATGAGGGAAGACTGAGTGACCCATGAAACTCATTAAATGAACTTTTTTTTCCCTAAAATATCTTTGTCTCCTTGTTTTCAACCCCTATTCTCTCTTCTCTTGACTATAAACGGGGCTCAGTAGCAGCAGACTGGTCTTGTGCAGCCCCTTCTTTGGACAGTCTTTTCTTGATTGTTGTATTCATCAGTCCTGCATTTCACTTTTTGCCCTCTTGAAATGTATCAAAATCTTTCTGTGGCTGATGACTTCCACATTCTCTTGGCTTTGGTTGGTATAAATTTTGGTATTTCTATACTTGTATTAAATATGATTTCAGGAAGAACAGAAAGTAAACGTGTTTTTCTAGTCTGCTGCCTTGAATTGAAAATACCTGTTGATTTTAGCATTCAACATTCCCATATAAAAAAAAACCCAACCTCAGCATTCACATTCAACTTTTCTTGAGAAATCACTAAGGATTTAGGATGTTGTCATTTCTAATGGGAAAATAATACCTATCTCATGGAGTTGATTTGAGGACTAAATGAGATAATGAACATGGAAAATTATTTGTAAAGTTTAAAGTTGTTAAGAGACTTGTATGAGAGGCAAGATGGCAGAGAAGTAGAGAGCTCTGTACTTTTCACCCACTCGCATCTCTTAAACAAAGAATGGCTGAAGCCATAGGACACTGAACCACAAGAGTCTGGGAGGAAAAAGACAAAGTCCATTAAGAAGACAGCCTCATAGTTGTGTGATTGCGAACTGGGGAAGATAAAAATGGGCAGGGACTCAGAGGCACGGAGGGGAAGGAGCCCCCTCCGCGGAGAGCCATGGACAGACGGACAGACAAAGGGAAGAGAAAGAGTAGCTGAAACTGCTCAGAGAACTGTCCCTGGAGAAAAGAAAAACCTCCGCTCGGGACAGAGAGGGATCCTATCATCTCATCTCTAACTGCAGGGCATTCAGAAACAGATCCTATTTCTAGCTATGGCACTGACTTTGGGCTGGGCGCCCCAATCTCAGGCAGCGCCAGGAGAAACTGCTCTGCTGCTCTTTCTGCTGGATGCCCTGATGAATCCCCAGCTGGGAAGTGGCCCGGCCTGCAGGATTACATTTTGGGCGGTATCATTAAAGCGCTTGGACTAAGATCTGGAAATGAGGCAGGGCTTGGGACATAGAACACAGCCCACCTTGGCTACCCCGGCGGCACAGGGAGATCAGACCCAATAAAGTAATTTCCAGTGCTTGGTTCAGGAAGGGACTGGGGCACTGCCAGTTTTCTCCCACAACCACCAAGGTGGGGCCTCAGGAAGAGATCCGCGGGACCACAGTGGAAGTGAGAACTGCCTACACCAAACCACACCCATCCGCCCTGGAGAGATGCTTTTTTCTTTTTACCAGAGCCCAGGGCAAGACCAATATGGATGCACTGCCATGATTCATTCTAGATCAATTCTTTCTATTCAGATATATTTTCCTTTGTCTCATTCTTATCCCTGCCTTCTGCTGGACTGGGCACTCTGGTCATTGGTTTGCTTAAACAGTCACAGTTCATCCATTCTCTTGATGCATATTCTACACTTCCATCATTACCTTCCTTTCTCTCTCTCTCTCTGGAATAATCAGACTATATAGTTTCTTTGGAAAACATTATATTAAATTCATTCTCCTAACATCCTACCATAATCTCCTCTTTCTCTCTAAAAATTAAGCCTTTTAGTCTCTCTGCCTGGTCAATGTTCAATTTTGCTTTCTCCCCACGCAGTCATTTCTTTCTTTGTATATGTTCTTCCATCAACACTGCCCCCACCCTGCTCTTTATTTCCAGCTGGGATTTCTGGTTTTATGCTTTTAGACTGTGCTTTGCCTTTTGTTGTTGTTGTTGTTTTTCCCCTTTCAGTTTGCTTGTTTGTTTGATTTGTCTGTGCATTTGTGTGCTTTTGTTCCCTGTGTGTTTGTCTGTCTGTTTTCCTTTTCAGGGCTACCTCAAGAAACAAACAAAAGTACACATGATGGAAAGTCCCAAATATCACTAAAAATAAGGAAAAAAAATATACAAAGGCACAACAAGAGAGACTAAGGGACACCATTAAAAGAACATGTCCTGAATAAACAGGCCATGGACAGGCAATGAGCCTCCTTTAATATAGCAGAACTCGCAGGTGCAGAGCACAGAACAAGCTTTTAAAACTGACAAGAGACAGAAAGCTAGCAAAATGATGAAACAGAAGAACTCTCCTCTAAAGACATTCCAGGAGGGAATGACAGCTAAAGAATTGTTCAAAACAGATATAAGCAACATAACTGACCAAGAATTTAGAGCAATGGTCATAAAATTAACTGCTGGGCTTGAAAAAGGCATGGACGACACCAGAGAAGCTATTGCTAAGAAGATTATAGACCTCAAAAATAATTGTGATGAATTTAAAAATGCTATAAATGAGGTGCATAATAAAATGGAGGCGGCCACTGCACAGATTGAAGAGGCTGAGAGGAGAATAGATGAACTAGAAGACACATGATAGAAAAAGAGGAAGCCAAGAAAAAGAGAGATCAATTGATCCAGGAACACGAAGGGAGAATCTGAGAACAGAGTGATGCAATCAAATGGAACAATTTCCAAATCATAGGAATTCCATAAGAAGAAGAAGAGAGAAAAAGGAGCTGAAGGGTACTTGAACAAATTATAGCTGAGAACTTCCCCCATCTGGGGTAGGAAACAGACAATGAAATCCAAGAGGCACAGAGAACTCCCCTCAGACATAATTTGAATCTATCTTCTACACAGCATATCATAGTGAAACTGGCAAAATGTAAGGACAAAGAGGGAATTCTGAAAACTGCTAGGGATGAAAGGGCCCTAACATACAAAGGGAGACCTATCAGCGTAGTTGCAGACCTATCTACTGAAACCTGGCAGGCCAGAAAGAAATGGCAGGGAATCCTCAATGTGATGAACAGAAGAAATATGCAGCCAAAAATCCTCTATCCAGCAAGCCTTTCATTCAGAATAGATGGAGAGATGAATGTTTTCCCAAAGAAACAAAAATTGACAGAATTCATCACCACTAAACCAGGCCTACAAGAAGTCCTAACGGGGACTCTGTGAGGGAAATGTTGCAAGGAACACAAGGTACCAGAGACACCAGTGCCAGCATGAACTCTACAGAGAACACAAAGACTCTAAACCCGTATTTTTCAGTAATAACACTGAACCAGTATTTTCACTATGAGCGTCAGCAGCTGCTAATGGTGCAGGTATCTCTTCTTAATAATGTCTACTGTTTCTATAAATTCAAAATTTTAAAACAACATGATGAACTAAGAATAAATATGATTGTACTTCAGAATGAACAACAACCATACCTGTAAATAAATTTAAATGCAACATAAAAACACACAAATATAGATATAACTATAATGTGCCTCTGCTGTTAATTATGAACCCTAGTTGTGCTTCCTTAGATATTTTCTATGCTATGATTATTTCCCTAGAGTCATTATCAGTTGTCCTTCAGGGGCAGCAGTGTGGTTAGAAAACAGTCATTTTGATGCCTCGCTAAGGTTTTGCTGTTTAACTGTTTCATCCTCCTTAAATAGAAGTTATGCTTAAACTGCTTACATTTCATTTTCCATTGCTTTTCTTAAAGATTTTTATCTAGGAAAGTAGCATAAGGAGTTAATTCACAATACAGGAAAAAGATTTAAGCAAAAAGATATACTATGTAAGAAGGAAATTTAGATTGTGCTTAAATACCATTATATTTGCTTAAATACCTTTTAGGACATAAGCTCACATTACTGAATGTTAAGAGTTATATTTTCAGGGGTGCCTGGGTGGCTCAGTCGGTTGAGCGTACGACTTTTCATACCGGCTCAGGTCATGATCTCACAGTTGTGAGATCGAGCCCAGCATCATACTCCATGAATAGAACCTGATTAAGGTTCTCTTTCTCTCCCTCTGCCCCTCCCCCGCTCATCCTAGAGCACACACACTGTCTCTCAAACAAGAGTTATATTTACAAATATATTTGTAATGGATTATGAAATATTTTATTAAAATGTTAATTATTCAAACTGTATGAAAATGATAAATTCTGCACATGATATGATAATCAATCTAACACAGAAATAAAGTTTTATATAAAAGACCTTGAAATAGATAATGTTAACTATGGATATACCTGGGGGGTAAGCTTAGTGATTTTTTCCTCTTTCTACTTGTATTTATTTCCCATATTGAGCATATATTACTATTAGCTCTAGAAATCTTTATTTTCATTTCATTTTATTTTTTTAGGTTTATTTATTTCGAGAGAGAGAGAGAGAGAAAATTAGTGAAAGAGAGGCAGAGAGAGAGGGAGAGAGAGAATCCCAGGAAGAAACCGTGGTATGAGGGCAGAGCCCGACAAGGGGCTCCATCTCACAACTGTGAGATCATGACTGAAGTCAAGAATAAGACCTCAACCAACTGAACCACCAGGTACCCCTTTTTATTTTCATTTTAAAAGAAATCCTATCAGCTGATTGAAGATCATAATTACAAAATATTTTATTATTCTGGGATGTAATTTACTCAAATCTAATATTTTGAATTCATTTTTTAAGAAGTAGATATTCTACTTGAACTTCTTACAGTTTAACTGCATTCCAGTATTCTGTTCCATACTTTCTAGTTTGAAAATCTTTCCCCTTAGTATCCTAGCACTGAGAATTGCTCTGATATGAGTTTTGCATTTAATACCTTGTGCCTTCTATGGGATCATCATCTGGATGCTCTGTGTATGAGAAGGGTCCTTGCAGTGCAACTACTGTGCATAGCTTTTCTACCTATTCCCCCATTTTTAGTACAAACCCTCCCCACTATCTTCAGAGGTTCTTGGTGCCTCTAATTTCTCAGCTTTTCTGAGATTCTTTAGCGTAAAGAGATGTGCTTTTCCCTGTGGGGGCACTTAGGTTTCTCCTCTTTGCTAAATCAGTAACCATTCAAACACCTCTCTACCCACTGCCATTCTCTTATGTTATTTATGCCTTTGAAAAAATTACTGTCATTCAGTGGCATTTGGGGAAAAGAATAGAAATACGCATGAATATTCATTTCACATTATTTTAAACTAGAAATCACTGTCTATATATGTACAGCTTAACCATTTCATGTGATGCTATTATCACCTAAAGAACAGACACCGATTAATCAGCCAATATTCATGAAGCACCTGGCTAGGAACTTTGGAAAAAAACTGGATGTCAATTTGAAATACAGAACAGAGGCATAAGTTGAAAACTCATTGTTTCCCCTGGGGGTTAGAGGAGGGGGGGTGGAAAACACATTCAACAAGTAAGGCAAACTATAAACCAGCTCTTTCCTTTTAAATGGCTTGGATATCCTGAATACTCCCTAAAATGCAACAAAGTGCATCAACACTTGCCTCTGAAAGGTCATTATCTTGTGAGTTATAAAAAAGAATCATGATGGGCACAGGGTGATGTATGAAAGTGTTGAATCTATATTTAGATTCACCTGAATCTATATAACACCTGAAACTAATATAACACTGTATGTTAACTGGAATAAAATTTTAAAAAAGAAAGAAAATCTTCAGCCATGTTGGTAATAAAATCACATGAAAAATTGGCAATTCAAAGTCCAGGGTCTAATGGAGGTAGCAATGCTTCAGAGAGTAGACAGAACTAATTTTTATTCATTAGTTCAGCAACTATTTATCATGTGCTCACTTTGCACCAGGAATTGGGATTATTGGTCCTTTGATGTGAGTCTTTCTCCCGGATAAAGTAATAGGGCTCCTTGGGGAACCTTCCTTTTCTAAAGCAGCCAAACCAGAAAGGTTGCCGGGGATCACGAGTGCTCGAACTGTGCACAGAGCACTAAAGCTTTTACTTGTTGAAGTTTACACCATTTCAAATATGGGATGAATCTAAGCTTCCAAAAGGGGGTTCTAAATTAAGAATTTTTCTGGAATGATAACAGCATGTACTCAACAAACAAATCAAGTTCTTTGAGAAATGTCAGTCGCTTTAATCTAGTAGCTGAAGTGACGTAGCTATCTATTCCTCATGGACCAAGACCGACATGTTTAAAAGAACTGTAAGTTCCCATGTGGATGTTGCAGTTGGAAGTCAATTTAGTCTTTATTTCTTCATTCCAAACCAAAATCCAACGGACTGTTTCTGGAGCATGAGTCCCTCGATGTCTCACCAATTATGGGTAGCAGCTTTAGTTTGGCAACGTTTACACTGAAGAGAATCTGAATATTGGTAGTGTTTCCAAAGGAAGACTTCTCTGCTGTTTAGGATCCATAACGCCCATTGTATTTTCAGGATGAGCAGATCAAACATGCAGATGTTGCAAACTGGCGGCCCGTGTGCTGGACGCAGTGCTCAGTGTGCACTCTTATCCAGGTTCCTATCCCCAGCCAGCCTACCTCTCCTGCTTTATTATTTTTTTTTTTTTACAAATAGTTTATTGACAAATTAGTTTCCACATAACACCCAGTGCTCATCCCCACAAGTGCCCTCCTCCATGCCCATCCTCCCTCCCCCCCACATCCATCGGTCCTCAGTTTTTGTCAGCATTCAAGAGTCTCTCATGGTTTGCCTCTCTCCCTTTCCCCCACCATTTCCCCCCTTCTTCTCCCCCTTGTTCCTCCGTCAAGTTCCTCCTAATCCTCCTATACGTGCAAACATACGATATTTGTCCTTCTCTGCCTGACTTATTTCGCTCAGCATAACACCCTCAAGGTCCATCCATGTTGCTACACATGGCCAGATTTCATTGTTTCTCATTGCCATGGAGTATTCCATGGTATAGATAAACCACATCTTCTTGATCCATTCATCTGTGGATGGACACTTAGGCTCTTTCCATGTTTTAGCTATTGTGGAGAGTGCTGCTATGAACATTGGGGTACATGTGCTCCTATGCCTCAGCATTTCTGTATCCCTTGGGTAAATTCCTAGCAGTGCTATTGCTGGGTCATAAGGGAGTTCTATTGTTAGTTTCCTGAGGAACCTCCACACTGTTTTCCAGAGGGGCTGTACCAGTTTACATTCCCACCAACAGTGCAGGAGGGTGCCCGTTTCTCCACATCCTCGCCAGCATCTAGAGTTCTGTGATTTGCTCATTTTAGCCACTCTGACTGGCGTGAGGTGGTATCTCAGTGTGGTTTTGATTTGTATTTCCCTGATGAGGCTACCTCTCCTGCTTTAAACGTTCTTCCAGCAATTGTCTCCCCTCTTACTTGTGTCATTAGCTTTTTCTCTCAGTTGGATCTTTCCTGCGAGCATACACATGTACTGTTATATTTCTGATCTTCAAAAAAAATAAAAGTCTTCTTTTGATCTACTTCTCCCTTCTGCCACCGCTCCATTTTATACTTCCCTTAGAACGTTCCAAAACATCTGTATATACTCACGGGGTCTAATTATTCTCCTCCTTCTTGAACTTATTCCAATCAGGCTTCTGCTCCCCTGCCCCCATCACTCCACTAAAACTGCTGGCGTCAAGGTCATTAATGATCTTCATGTTGCTAAACGGTCATTTCTTGGAACTGGCAACATCATGTGTCCTAGTTGACCTCTTCCTTCTTCTTAAAGCGCTTTCTTTTCTTGGACACCACATTCTCCTGGTTTTTCTCCTATTTCACTGGCTGTGTCTTCTTAGTTAGTTTTGCTGGCTGCCCCTCATCTCCCCAAATTCTAAATACTGTGCTTTCATTCCTAGTCATTTGATGTGTTCCCTCCTCTATCAACACTTGCTTCCCTGATAAGATCTACTCTAAATGCTATGATTTTCCATATTATATGTCTAATTTGGAGCACCCTCCCCAAAATTCTAAGCATAATATACCCACTTGCCAAATTGACAGCTTGGAGATCTAATAAACCTTCCAAATATGACAGGTAAAAAGGGGGGGAATCTCCTATTTTTCACTCTACCCCAAGATCACAGTTTTCCCCATCTTGGGTGATGACAACTCATCCTTCCAGGTTGAGGCCCCAATCCTGGGAGTCTTATCTGATGCTTCACTTTCTCTCACACCCAGTATAGAATCTAGTAGCAGATTCTATTGTCTCTACCTCCAAATACATCCCAAATATGGCTCTGTCTCCCCACTACCAGTCTTGTCATTTCTAGCCTGAGTTACTGCAGTAGCTTGGTCTCGGGTCTCCTTATTCCTGCTTGACTCTGTAGAAATATGCTTTCAACATAGAGAGCACAGAGTCCTTCCTCAGCTCAGATGAGCCAGTGGCTTCCTATCTCATCCAGGATAACGGCCCAGACCTTCACCATGGTCAACAAGACCCAGTAGGATCCTGTTCTCCATACTCTCATCTCATCTTTCCAGACTCTTCCTCAAGGTCTCACTGCTTCTGTTCCACTGGCCTCTTTGAACTCACTGGGAAAGTCCTATCTAGGAGACACTTGTTGTTCTCTTTTATGTGAATATGAAAGTAGTTATCCGAGCGCCTTGCTCCTTCACTTCCCTAAGGCCTTTACTCAGACCTCCCTTTCTCAGTAACACATTTCTTTGGTACCCTATTTAATACTGCAGCCTGCCCCAACATTATCCAATCACATTGTTACTTTCTATTTCTTTCATGCTTGCCTCTCCAAGAAACATATGACTATATTCCTCTTTACTTTGCTTACTTTATATGTCTCCATGCTTGAATGAATGTAAACTTCATCCAGGTGAGGGATTTTTGTCTTCTTTATTCACTGCGAAGCCTGCAGGGCCTAGACTAGTGGTAGGCTCGTAGTAGGTGCTCAGTACATACTTGGTGAATAAATGAATTCACACAGAGTTTTTAAATCTGAAAATTTCCCAAGTTCTTCTTGACCTGCCAGAAGATCAAGCAACACTGAGGCAGCCTGGAGTGGCATAGGGGCTGTTTCCTTTGGATGGCGCATGCTCTCCATCACTCCCGTTGTCTGGAATTCAGTGATGAGTGTATCTTATCTGACTCTGCAGCAGCACCCACTTCCGTCCTACTTGCGTTGATGAGGGAACAATACTTTCTCTTTTTCTTTCTCTCTTCTCAAAAGAGACAATTTTCAAAATAGCAAGAGGGAAATTAAAGGGAAAACTTAATTTCATTTGTGTCTGCCTCATGGATGCTCTAAAATTCATCTCCGTTCTCTTGTTCCTGATCATCTATGCACATTCTCTTGAGGATCTTCTTTCATGGCCTTGATGAGAACTGAGACACTGACTTCTACGTCATCCTTTCAGCCCGAAGTCTCTCCTGGGTTCCAGACTCACAGAACCACTACTTAACAGAGACCACTGCTGGGAATTCTCAG